TATTGTTTGTATATATATATATCTATATAACAACTTATACTCGTCAGTGCCCATGTTGAACCCCGAATCAATATCCGTTTTTGTTGAACCCTAAATCAATTTCTGGTTTTTGTTCGCCTGTCCCTTGTGAGGTCGCCCACCTTACATATATATATATAGGTATTAGTCCGTGCCGCTTCTAGAAGGCCGAATTAATTCGAAGTTTTTATTCATCTATCCCACTAAGGTCGAAATTGATCCACAATTGCGAGTTAGTTTGCAGTTTGCGACCTATAGTGCTGGAGGAGTTACAACTGCGAGTTAGTTCGTACTTTGTGACCTACAGTATTGGAGGAGTTGTCGCTCTTTGTATCCAGAACTTCGAGTTAGTTCGCACTTTGCGACCTACAGTGTTGGAGGAGTTGTCGCTCTTCGTATCCATAACTCCGAGTTAGTTCGCACTTTGTCGACACCTAGTGGAACATGTTTTAGGTCTTTATTTTCACAACTTCGAGTTAGTTCGCACTTTCCCCAAGATAAGACACCTCTTTCTTGAAAGTGAGTTCTTCATTTCTAGAACTGTGAGTTAGTTCGCACTTTATGACCTACAGTGTTGGAGGAGTTGTTGCCCTCCGTATCCAGAACTCCGAGTGAGTTCACACTTGTCAACACCCATGTTGTACGTGTTTGAGGTCTTCATTTCCAAAACTCCGAGTTAGTTCGCACTTTCCCCAAGATAAGTCGCCTCTTTCTTAAACGTGAGTTCCTCAAATCCATAACTGCGAGTTGGAATTGTTGTCTTTTCTCCAGAACTGCGAGTTAGTTCGCGCTTGTCGATACCCATGTGGTACATGTTGTAAATATCTTCATTTCCATAACTGCGATAAGCCGACTCTTTCTTGAACGTGAGTTTTGCATTTATAGAACTGCGAGTTAGAACTGTTATCTTTTCTCAAGAACTCCGAGTTAGTTCGCACTTGTCGATATCCATGTGGTACTTGTTATAGAGGTCTTCATTTCCACAACTCCGAGTTAGTTTGCATTTTTCCGAAGATAAGCCGCCTATTTGTTCATTTTCAGGACTGCGAGTTGGTTCGCACTCAGTCCGATGAGTTGTTATCTTTCCTCCCAACTCACTCTGTCAGAGGAGTATTGTCTTTCCTCCCCCTGACCCAATTGTTGTGATTTCGTGTGCATTCCAAACACCCATCTGGTACGTCGTTTCGGTCCTTTATTTCCATAACTCTAAGTTAGTTCGCACTTTGTTGTTGTACTCTTAGGAAAACCTCGTGGCTTTCCTACCGGTCATCCGATTTAGTCTAGGGTTGGACGTATTAGTTTAGGGTTGGGTGTAAAATAACGTCCGCGAAGAACACATCGACAAGTGATGGGGCGTTTGCCCCCGAGGAGGGACGAGGTCTTACTCAATCTTCTCCTCAACATCTTCATTCGAAGGATGCACAATGGTTTTGAGACTTTGTTGTCGACGGGAAACTTGTTGGGCTAGCTATTTTCGTGCAGCCCGCTGACTTTATAGACGGTAAGGGAGCAAACCACATTTATCATGTCGGTACCATCCTTTCGTCCCAGAAACAATTTGGGGGCTTGCTCAAGCTGCAAACTAACATTTTCTACAACATGTGCGGACTACCTTACAAAGGTGTCAAAGGTGTGATGGTTTCAATCAATAATTTTGCGGGGTATGACTCGAACATGCTTCGCTGTCGTCACTTCAAAGGGTTTTACGATAGCAAAAGCATGCCTCTTCCACCTCCGGTGGAATATCTCGATCTTGCGCTGAAGGTGCTAAAAGAGCGTCTGATTCGTCCGCGAGATTATGGTTTCCGACTTCTAACAGCCCCTGAGGGGTCGTTCGGCTTAGCTTAAGAAACCCCTCTGATGAAAGTGAGGAACGTCAGTATCATTCACGGCACTGAGGGTTAGGGCGTGGGGCAGGTGGGCAGGAGTTAGCTGCAGGTCGGTCCGAGTCCTTCTAGGTGCACGTCTCGCTGCCAAGGTGACACGTACTCGCTGCTAGGGTGACACGTACTCGCTTCGTGATGAGGCGAGAAGAGAATTCGGCAGTTCAAGACAAGAGGTTGGAGGGAATGAGGTTGGAGGGATGGGCGTTATGCGCGACAACTCTGGAGGGGAGCCGACTTCTTCAAAGAAGAAGCGCGAGCGACATAAAACGGTACGAGATGAGGTGGCGGAACAAAGCAGATACATGAAGAGGATGAAAGGATCCTCGGAGCTGATGATTGGCGAGGACGAAGGTGACGTCGTGGAACGTGCCTTGGGAAAAAAACCGCCAAGGATGAGTGGCGGACAAGAAGAAGAAGTCAAAAAGAGGCAGTCGAAGCAAGAAGCTGCAAGAACAAGGAAGAAAGCGAAGAGGGCCGACTGTTTGACCATCGGCGAAGGGCAAGCCGTGGAAGCTATGGGTGAAGGAGATTCGGCTCGTCAAGGCATTGTTGCCGCGGGAGAACCTTCCGAGAAATTTAAAAGGAAGTTGGTAGTTGAAGGCGATCTCCAGAAGAAAGCTCGGAGGAGGAAGACTGGTGAGGGGACGAGTGATGGCGAAAGGGCGGTTGGTAGGCAATACGACAAAGCGACAGTGTTTTGACTCGAATACGAGCGAAACGATAATGGTGACATCGTGGAGAAGGAGCACCCAATTCAACTGGTCATCGACCCTAGAAAGGTCTGCGATATCCCGCCATGGGAAATGTATTATAATCACCACGATCTCTCTCGGGATGGTGTGGAGGAGAAGGCAAAGGCATGGACGAAAAACACTTTGGTTCTGGCTCCCATCTACAAGGCAGTGACACAGAAGTCGGAGAGAGCTCGAAGGTTTCACAAGGATGTCTTCAAGCGAGAGGACAAGGACAAATACTTCTATTACCCCGTGAATGGACAACACACTGTGGTTGTTGTGAAGGAATTGGATGGTGAGTCAATATTCGAATTGTGGAAGATGCACTCGTGGCTAGCGAGAGTCGTGTGGTTCTCCGATGAAGACTTTGGGGAGTATTCGCAGGTTAGTCTAGCGGAGAACACAAGACACACGATGTCTATGCATCATTTGCAGAAGGTCATTTTCGAGGACATGCAGGAGGCACGGGAAAACCAGGGAAGGCCGGTGGCTGTTAAAGGAAACCCTTCCGGTAAGGAGGCCAAAAAACAAGTGTTTTTTTAGTTTCAGAAGCTGTTTTTGGGAAAGAGTCCCAACGCCGCTCATTGGAAGATGGCATGTAATCCGCCAACGCATACCGACAAGGACAAAGTTGTGGCTACTTGCAATGCATTGAGGCAATGGTTACCTCTCGTGACGGTCGGTGATGAGGTTTTTCGTAAAGGGATGAAGTTTTACAATAAGTGGGCCGAGGAAAAATTGTTAGGCGGAGACGGGAAAGACGTCCTTGTCGAAGCCTCGCAAATACATGCCAGACAAATCTTCGGGGCTTCAAGCGATTCCAGAAATGGGCGCGAAAGGGGCAGCTGGTGAGACAAAGTCCGTATCCCTCCGCCTCAGACCAAAAAGAAAACGCAATTGTATTACAAATTTTTCATCGTCGTGAAAGAGTCGGACATGTTCTGTTTGCAATCTCTCGCTGACATGACCGATGATGAAAAATTGTCAATCCTTGAGGACATTCTCGCGCTTAAGGGAGTGTTTGTGCAATCGACGGGGGAGCATCTCAAAAGATAATATAAGCTGGGAATTAAAGACATGGTCACGACGAGGAAAGTGAATCGAATGATGCTTCGCATGTTCCACTACATCTTGTTCCTTGAATTTGAGGAGGACGCAGAGGTTTGGTGCTATGGAAGCTAGTTTTTTCGGACCGAAGAGCAGCTTCTGGCGGAATTCGCACCGCAGGGCCTCATAAAGCAGGTGTGGGTCGAACTGAGGAAGCATTTCCATGACGCGATGGACTACGTGAACACTTGCAAACGTTGTCTTCGTACGAGAAAGAGTCCCTCGACGAAACGAAGAGACTGTACGATGATGACAGGTTTTCTAAATCCTTTGAGAAGTCTGTCCGCTCTATCTTGTCATTAACAAAGGAAGAAGTCCAGGACACGATCAGGGTCAGTGGAGATGTGAGGCACATCAAATGGCACAAGCTCAACTGCTTTATCAGCCTTATTCCTTTCGGTTGTCTGCCTTCCCAAGCTCACATTCGTCTCACAGAGATCCGAGAGATTGTGCGACATTACGTATGCAACTTGTACGTCCTCGATTTGTGTGATCCCACACTCCTGCCAGATTGGCAAGAAGACGATTTCGCCTCCTTGCAAGGCGTTCTCCAAACCCTATCGCCAAGGCACAGGGCACTTATGGTCTTCTTCCCATCGTGTTGGGAGCTCAGTTTCTTGAAAGGCATGACCAAGCTTAGCGTTCATCACGTGAGGACAGGGAAGTGTGTGCGCCATGCACAAAGGAAGGCCACAGTCCGGGAAGGCAATATGTTGGTCGAGGAATATGATCGTCTGTACGTCGTTTTCAATGGCGAGAACTTGGTAGACAACACGGTTGCAGTGTTCCCATTCAGTAGTTCATCGAAGCGCTCCCGTGCGAATGCTCCAAGTCCGGCCAAACCCACGAGGGCGGTCCACTCAAAGCCTGGTTGTTCTTCCGACCCTTCGGGACAGGTTGTGGCCTGTTTCGACATGGCAGACGAGGACAAGTTCCCTCGCAGCCAGAGGGAGGACGACGGTGTGGCAAGTATTCAAGGAGCTGCTGACGGGGACAGGGAACGAAACCCAACTCATCTAATTGGTCGACTCAAATTTTTTTGTAGAGTTGGGCAAACTGTTGTTTTTTTTTCTGTCCTGTGGGAGCACTCCTATGTAGTGGTCGAAACATCGTTACGTTAGAGGTCGAGGCAAAAATTATCGATTACCTTCACGAGTTCATGAAGACACGCGGGGGGGACCATCGCAACTATTGCTCTTTTGTCCAGACCACCGGCGAACGGAATTGGGATCCCAAACGTGATATGTATTGGAAATTGTCGGAGAAGAAAAAAATGGACGTTTGTGAGTTCTTTTTCCAACCAGGACCGCCTGCTCAAACCGGCCCGGATTATAATCGACGAAGAAACCTGGTGTTCGGTGTGTTGAAAGGTTACCACAGTGCACCCAAGGAGTCTGTCTCAAATTTTCTGAAAAGGCTGGAACGCGTTTTTTTCTTATGGCAGAACAACTAACGCTCGAGAACTACAAGGCGCAATTTGACGAGGACGACCCTTTCGACACTGAAGATATGGAGGAGGTGAGCGACTCTAAATCCTTCGATTTCGAGTCCATGCTACTTCCTGAGGTGGTTGCACATGTTGGTGATGAAGGGAAAGATGGCTTTCAGAGATATGGCACGTCCCCTGCCGGTTTGAAGCGTGTATTTGAGCGTGGCGCAATCGAGGAACAATCGTCTGATGATGGGGAAGAAGACAAAGACTACAAATACACACTTGTTGACAAACTCATTAAGGACCATGATACCTGGGAGAATGATAGCCTTTTCTTCTATGGTAAGTACCACAAGTTCACAGCAGAGGACATCTGGGGCCACAACGTCGTCTGGCACCCCAGGAAATTCCAACCTCCTGTAAAGAATGGAAAGTGGGTCATGGCAATAAATGAAGTCGACGGCAAGTGGAGTGGCTTGAACAGACTGGGAGCGGGTCCATTTAAGAAAAAGGCCAGAGAAGCTTCAGTGGAGCATTTGAGTGTAGTAAACCCCGAAAGGAGCCCACAGGGCGTCAATGCTTATGCAGGCCAAAAGCACAACGAGCTCTACAACAACAAAATGTTAGAGTTCCGAACGCCTTTCTACACACTTGAAACGACACCGTCTCTTGGCGCATGACGCAACCTCCGGCCGGTGGTCAGCATCCGGGAGGTGGTGGAGGAGGTGACGGAGGAGACGGCTCATGATCTGGTGGAGGAGGTGACGAAGGAGACAACTCAGGATATGGTGCTGACAAAGCAGAGGGGAAGGGGTCGGGCGGAGAAGGTTCTAAAGAAAAGCGATCTGCCGGAAAGGGGTCAGGCGAAACGTCGTCACGATCAAAGGGGTCTGACGAAAAAGGGTCCAGCGGAAAGGGGTCGGGTGGAAAGGGGTCGGGCAGAAAGGGGTCGGGCGGAAAGCGTAAAGCTTTCGGGAGTCGCGAGTCTACGGGATCTGAAAGCCACTGCGAAGGGAGTAGAGATTCCGACATGTGAGACGAGGACGCCCTGAGGTCTTACCAAGTGCGAGTAGATTCACACTTGTCTGCAAGGACTTTGTTTCACGAAGTCGAGGAGTATTTGTGCCACAGTACGCAGCCGGCGTATCCTGTGGACAACACCTTGCTCTTGCGCCTCTTGGAAGAAGGCGAACATCTGCAGTGTACGGCAACATCTCCTGAGTGGCAAAACCATTCCTTATCGGGAACTGCGTCTTCGTTTTGCCTGGACGCTGGGATGCCCGCATTGCGAAGGAGCGAAGGTGCGAGCGTCAGTTCCCTCAGCTTGGCGAGCGCCACAAAGTCCGAATAGATTCGGAGTTATTGACGTCGCCCTGCGGGCCGTCCACCAGCATTGCTGCTCACGCTACATTTCTCTGGGGCGAAGAAAATGTGAGGTCCAACCCCCCCCATCTTCGGTTGGGCATAGTGTTCCCCTGCTCACCGGCATTCTCAAATGTTCAAACTCAAGACTGATTGTCTCGCAAAGTGCTGGAGGGGCCCGCTGCAGGAGTGTTGGAGACCGAGGCTAGCGAGTATCAATGTCATGCTTCGGAGGGTGCATCTGTCGACTTTGAGAGCAAGAGTACAACAGCTCCGGGGGAAGAGGAGCTCTCACAGGAAGCGCATGCTGTGCAGCGAGAAAAGAAGACTCAATATTGGCGGCCTCACAAAGTGTTGGAGGGGCCGGTTGCAGGAGTGTCGGAGATCGGTGCTAGCGAGCATCAATGTCATGCTTCGGAGGGTGCGTCCGTTGACTTTGAGAGCAAGAGTACAGCAGCTCCGGGGGAGGAGGAGCTCTCACAGGAAGTGCGTGCTGTACAGTGGGAAGAGGAGGCTAAACACTGTCCGCCTCGCAAAGTGTTGAAGGGGCACGATGCAGGAGTGTTGGAGACCGGGGCTAGCGAGCATCAATGTCATGCTTCGGAGGGTGCGTCCGTCGATTTTGAGAGCAAGAGTACAACAACTCCGGGGGAAGAGGGGCTCTCACAGGAAGCGCATGTTGTGCAGCAGGAAGAGGAGCTTCTCCAGGGCTCATCACAAAATACCATCAACATCGGGGACACCGAAGAGGTTCTGCACAGTGGAGCGCCACTTACGACGCAAGAGGGTGATGTTAAGGGAGGTCAGTAGACGTTTGTGGACTGCAAAGACCGTGGGGAGGAATGACGTGTGTGGACGTTTGTAGAAGCTCGACTTCTTGGCGATGAGGAAGGCGAAGAAGAACCTGTGGTGGAAACTCAGGTTCTTGGCGATGAGGAAGGCGAAGAACCCATGGTGGAAGCTCGGCTTCTTGGCGGTGAGGTGTCGGTTGGCATCCAGGATACCTTACCGGTTATGCATAGTGAGTCTAGGTTGACGATGCCTCTTCACATGGATCCAGAGCAGAAAGATCATGATTCTTCGTCCACCCGCTGCAGTGAAGAACAAAGCGATCGAGCGTCTGTCCTCAGTACCGGTCAGAAAATGCTACTTAATGAAGCCATCGAGTTGGTTAGCGACTCAGCTGCCATCGAGCTGGTTAGCGACACCGCTCTAGTCGAGATGCAGAACATCGAATCCTCCGTGGGCGTTGGCACAGTGGCGCGGCAGGAGGCCGATTTCCCTCGAAAGACTCCCGAGCACGGTACAATTTGTGAATAGTAGCACTCACATATCTGTCACTGTTCACCTCTCTGGTCATCCAGATTGATATGATGGGCTCATGTAGCTATTATCACCTGTTAAATAAAAGTTTGTGGGTTGTGTGTTGTTTTCTATGCTTTACAGGTGTGAGGTTATCATTGTCCCTGCCCATGAAGCCTTCAAAAACCATGCGTCGGAAAATCGTTTTTAGGGAGGTCATTGGCTGCTTTACCGAACAAGTCCTCGTCAAGTGTAGGGTTGTTTAAAAGAGTCCAGATGCCTCGCCTTTCTGAGAGAGCTGTTAAGGTTTTGAAGGCTTGTGGAATAGATAAGGAGGAACCTTTGCAGAAACATGTGGCTGCGTCTATTGAAAGCGTTACTGCTTTGTCTGATGGGTTTGATGACGATGCCAAAAGGGGATCGTCAAAGACCCGTATCCTAAGCACATCGCCAAGGACACATTTAACAGTCGGGGTTATAACTATTCTACAAAAAATGGCACACAGTTCTTAACTAGTTCGTTCCGGTGGTTAAGCTGGTTTTGGCGGCTCATCAGAATTTTTCGTGGGTGTTTGTGCAGTTGCAGCTACATCATCTTTTCGCATATCGTTGCCTACTGAGGAGTTTAGCGCTACAGACTTGAGAATGTTGCAGGACGTCTGCGGAGATTTCAGCAACGGCCAAGAGGTGGTTTCCTCGATTCGCAAAGGGACCAGTTGTATTTTGTTGAGCAGAATAAATCTTCAGACTATTGTCCAGGGGGAATAGCTTTGCGACGAGGTGGTGGAGTTTTACTTGGCCTTGGTTGGCAAAGCTACGTTGTCAAGGTGTCCCTCTATTTATACTTTCAGTCCGTTTTTCTATACCAAGCTCGTCGATGAGGGATGTCGACATGATAGGGTTGCGAGATGGATAAAAGATGTGAATTTTTTTCGTACGACATGCTCATCATTCCTCTTCATAAAAATCGAGTGCAATGGACCCCATTATGCGTCTGCGAAGGACAGCTGGAGTACTACGACTCCCTCCTACAAGACAATGGTGGTTTTTCTTCCCAAGTGTTTGGCAACTTTACGAAATACCTCTCTGACGAAGCAGTTCGTCAACTTGGTCAACATTCATGGACCTCAAGGTGGTTGTTCATAGTGTCCTTCGGAAGTCGGACGGGTCGAGCTTCGGTGTTTTCATGCTCGTTTTTGCTGCTTTCCGGCACCCAGTCATCCGTCATCATTTTCGATAGCCCAAAACGACATTCCAAACATCAGGCTGAGGATTGCGGTGGACATACTTCAAGGCTTATAATAATACCCCTATTTTAAAAATACGTAAACTTTTTTATTCGCAAGGTCATAAACAGAAGTGCGAATTTACTCTCACTTAGACTAAGTGCTAGCAGTCGGTCGGCTCGAGTTGCGATGTTGTTTTGATGAGGTAGAGGATTGTAGTGGACATTTTGATCAAGTACACGCTTAGATGTCGATGTGAATATCCCGGCCTCATGCTGCAGTATTTTTTAAGGGTTCTTCATTTCGAGGAACGTGGCAGCTTTACTCATAGGACTTTCTTTGATTTTCTTGTTTCTTTAGTTTTTCCGATGTATATGTCACAGCCTCGTGCAGCCTGTTTTTAAGGACGCCGGCAACGCCGTGCTGCCTTCGTTTGTTTGCAGGTTATTCTCTTTCCTTGCCGCCCAACATCAGCTAGAGGGTTGCAGTGCATGCTTAGGTCAAGTAGACGCTTAGATGTCCATCTGAATATCAAAGCCTTGTGCTACAGTGTCTTTTAAGTAGACGCTTAGATATCGATGTGAATATCCCAGCCTCGTGCTGTCTTTGTTTGTTTTCGGGTTATTCTCCTTATGTCGTCTACCGACCGTGGCAGTGTCGTGCTGCGTTTATTCGTTTCCAGGTTGTGCTCATGTGTTACTGATGGGACAACCTTTGTCCTCTTGTGGACATTCTTTACACTCGTGCTCGTAGGACTCCATACTCTGGTTCATTTAGCAAAATGTTGGTGAAAGATATCAATCATTTCTTCTTGGTCGCTAAATTGTTTCGTGCTTATCTCTTTCTTACGTGCGACTTTATGGTATGAAAGCCTCCCTGCCCACAACTTAATATTCACATACTTTGACTCGCTCCTCTTTTGCACGTACCACTCTATTTTTCGGTTCACCCCCTCTGTCGTACTTTCCTTCCTGCAACGACCTTCTTTCCACCTGTCCCGTCTTTGCAGCTAAGGTGAATTATTCGTGTGTCGTGAACGCTTTTGTCTCCATTGAATGCTGATTGTTGCTTCCATATGACAATTGCGAATTTACTCGCAATTCGGAAGCCAATTATCACCAGAATGTATGTGTGTTTGACGTTATTTTATGGACTCCATGAAATTTAGTGGTACAGTAAATGATCACCAATTTTGTTATCGCCAGAATACATGCGCTAGTCTCCACTGAATACTGACTATTGTTTCCGTATGACAAATGCGAACATATTCGCAATACATTTGCGATGAGACCGTTCATATCTACAAATTTGTCAAAACGATTACCTTTCGTGTTGTCACCAGAAATTTGTTCATATCTGCAAGTTCGTCAAAATGATCATCAATTGTGTTATCGTCAGAATGTATACGTGATTGACCCTGCGCTTCGACGTTGTTTATCGCTAACGGCTGGATATGCGGCATTCTCCAAAATGGATGATTGACCAAAATTGTTACCTTATGTGTTCTCACCATAAACCTGATCATTTATGTAAGTTCGCAAAAAATGATATATTGCCGAAATGATTACCTTCTGTCTTATTGAAAAAATTGATAACTCGCAAAAAGATTGTCCTTTGTGTCATGTCTTGTCGAAAGTGAAATTGACTCCTCTAGCTTTGATGACATTCGTTTCTATCCCGCTTAAAGCGCCTTCTCACCTTTTTCGACGACTTACTGTGCGAAAGCATGTGCGAATTAATTCGTAGTTTAATATTCTCTCCTCTACCTTTGCTCAAGGGAATTTACAACTCGCTTAGAACGCCTCCTCACCTCTTACGACTATTACTTCTAAATTCAGAAGCAACCTCTGTCGCACCTTTACAATAACGGTGTTATGACCTTGACATCCATTATCGGACCATCAAAGGATCAGTCGACATGGTCGCTTTTAGCCTTTTGCAATTTTCGACATTATCAGACCATCAAAGCATCAGTCGACGTGGTCGCTTTTAGTCTTTTGCAATTTCCGTTAAAAGGGGTGCATAGCGCTAAAAAGGGTGCACGACGCCTTAACGTATCGCTGAAAGGGTTGCAAAAACATTTAATGTGCACTCGTCGTCGTCGCTTTTGTGATTCCCGATGCCCATTCCTTTTCGCTAAAAAGGGGTCGACAACGTGTCTGCCATGGGTGAGCAAGCGTGAAATCTAGTTGCAAGCTCATATAATGCAGAAATGACTGTTAACAACGAATAATAACCGTTCGCGCCTGTACCATGAGTTTTCACTCGTCTTTGTGCTACGTCGGATGCTAGACCTTGAAAATGTCTGATGCCTTACCCTTGCGCTTTGATTTTATTTCGCGCTCAACTGTCGTATTGACAGGTAAAGATGCACCAGAATTGCAATGATTCAAATCTGCGAGAGTGGGAACTGTATGATGCATCAGAATTGTCAGGCTCAGAGTGGGCAAGGTCCTTATGTAAGGAATATTTCCGAGTTTGAAATTGGGTTCTCCAGCTTTGGAGGCAGGTATATATAGCGCCTCTTAACCTCATCCAATGATTCAATGTGTGGAATTTATTCACATCTACGAGAGTGGGAACTGTGCGATGCATCACAATTGACAGGCTCAGTGTGGGCAAGGTCCTTCTATAAGGAATATTTCGGTGTTTGAAATTGGGTCCTCCAGCTTTGCTGGCAGGCATTACTATACAGCTTATGGCGCCTCCTGACCTCTTCCAATGACTCAATGTGTGGCATTTCTATCCCCCTTACAACACCTCCTCACCTCTTCCAACGACTAAGTGTGCGAAAGCATTTGGGAATTAGTTCGTAACTTAAGATTTTGTCCTCTACCTTTGCTCGCAGGAATTAATGACCCGCTTAGAGCGTGTGCGAAAGAATTTGCAAATTAATTCGTAGTTTAAGATTCACTCCATATTCAGAGGGTTGGGGTGCTCAGGCTCGGATTGCAGGAGGACAAAACCAAGTGCTCATTTCTAAGATGCCGCTCACATCGGAAATAGCCAAAAGGGCAGAATGTGATTTCCAGGGGGGGTCAATGTGATTTTGAAGAGGGTTGGGGTGTTGAGGTTCGGACTGTTCAGTCAACGTTTGTAGCCTAATATTAAGTTTCTACGTTGAGGATCTTTGCCCGATAAAAGAACTTGTAACGTACTATTAAGTTTGCTCGACAAAGAACAAAATGTAATATTAAGGGGATTGGGGTGCAGCAAAGAAGTTTGAGCAGGTGACATGCAGGAAAACGTACTTATTTTTCAGATGCCGCTCACCTCGAAATTAGCCAAAAGGGCAGAATGTGATTTTCTAGGGGTCAGGGTGCTGGGATGGGGGCCGTGGGGAGGGGGGCAAACAGGAGGGGGATTGAGGCGGAGAGTCATTAGGTGTCATAGGCCCTGGAACTGGTCCACGCACCTTGAAAATAGGCTTAAATAGCCAAAAGGGATTTAGGGTGTGATCCACTCACCTTAAAAATAACCAAAAGGGGAGAATGTGACTTCAAGGGGGTTCGGGTGCTGGGGTAGGGGGTGGTGGAGGGGAGGGTCAGCATGTGTCATAGGCCATGTTACAAGTTGCAGGTTGATGGGAGCACTCGAACAAACGTGGAGTTTATTCTGAGTTGCAGAGCCACCACTCCAAAAGGCTTAACCTACCTCGAAAATAGCCAACAAGGGAGAAATTTGATGTCACGGTGATTTTAAGGGGGTTGGTTATCGTTGGTGTGCTAGGGTGGTTGGGGCTGGGGAGGGGGGGGGGGGGGGGGGGGACGGTCGACTCAGTAGATGTCATAGGCCCAGTACCAAGTTGCAGGTTGATAGGTCGAGTACTCCAAGCGATGACAGTTGTTGATCTTGCGAGACCCATGGCAGTGCCCACTTAGCAACACTTAGCAAT